CAGGCCTAATAGATTGCATTCCTTCTTTCAAATATAACAGGGTAGAATTACACATAATGAAAATAGTAACAAGAGTTGGCTTATATATCACATATTTTACTTTTCTGTGGTCTTCCAAAAGTTTTGGCCTTGAGTTGCCAAAAGCCCCACATAACATGGCTTTATGTCAGGGATTCCAGGAAGTGAAGTCCAAAAATCCTGAGGGATAAAGGTTGAGAACCACTATGTCTTTTGGCAACTTTCCGCATTTGTAGCAAAGGTGGGATTAGAACTGCTTCCACAAAGTCCATACTTATAGGCTGACCTAGCATAATAATATTAACTGTCCCATAGGTCATCTTTCCAATGCCCCATTTCTGAATTCTACTGATTGCAGTCCCCTATAAAATGTTTCACCCATACGCTCACATGCCAGACTTCTAACTGGGGCAAATTACAGGGAGCAGTCAATCCCCCTGTTCAAGGAGCTCCACTGGCTGCCGTTCATTTTCCGGTCCCAATTCCAGGTGCAGGTCATCACCTATAAAGCCCTGAATGGTTTGGGACCCACCTACTTTTGCAACCGACTCTCCTACCACAAACCTGCACGATCCCTTCGATCTTTTAGAGAGACCCTTCTTTCGCCCCTCCCTCTATCACAGGCTCGACTTGTGGGAACGAGGGAGAGGGGCTTCTCCGCAGTGACCCCCCATTTTTAGAACTTGCTACCTGGGAGATCAGGCAAGCCCCTACCCTAGCAGCTTTCAAGAAATAGTTAAAAGCTTGGCTCTTCCGGTGTGCCTTCGGAGAGTGACCACTCAACTCATTAGTTTGTTTCCACCTTTAACTGTCCTCATGATAAAGCATGATATATATTCCTATCTCATCCAGTGTTTTAACTTTTTAACGTTTTATCTCATATATCTGGTCCACCCTTTGTGTTTGATTTTACTATGCTATATTATTCTGTTTATTTTATTTGTTATTTTATATATTTTGTTATGATGTATTTTTGTTGTTTTCTGTGTCTAATTATGTTGTATTATTTTTGGGCTTGGCCTCATGTTAGCCGCCCCAAGTCCCCTTTGGGGAGCTGATGGCGGGTTATAAAGATTATTATTATTATTATTATTATTATTATCATCATCATCATCATCATCACCCAAATACCTGGGAGTCACTCTGGACCGTGCTCTGACCTACAAGAAGCACTGTCTGAACATCAAGCAAAAAGTGGGCGCTAGAAACAATATCATACGAAAGCTGACTGGCACAACCTGGGGATCACAACCAGACACAGTGAAGACATCTGCCCTTGCTCTATGCTACTCTGCTGCTGAGTATGCATGCCCAGTGTGGAACACATCTCACCACACTAAAACAGTGGATGTGGCTCTTAATGAGACATGCCGCATTATCACGGTGTCTGCGCCCTACACCACTGGAGAAATTACACTGCTTAGCCGGTATTGCACCACCTGACATCCACCGGGAAGTAGCAGCCAATAGTGAAAGGACCAAGGCAGAGACATCTCCAGCTCATCCCTTGTTTGGGTATCAGCCAGCACGTCAATGACTTAAATCAAGAAATAAGCTTTCTTAGATCTACAGAGACACTCGCTGGAACACCTCAGCAAGCGAGAGTTCAAAAGTGGCAGGCTCAAACCCAGCACCTCAATCCGTGGGTGATACCAGATGAGAGACTCCCCCCTGGGCACACAGAAGACTGGCGACTTGGAAGGCGCTGAACAGACTGCGCTCTGGCACCACGAGATGCAGAGCCAATCTTAAGAAATGGGGCTACAAAGTGGAATCCACGACATGCGAGTGTGGAGAAGAGCAAACCACTGACCACCTGCTGCAATGCAACCTGAGCCCTGCCACATGCACAATGGAGGACCTTCTTGCGGCAACACCAGAGGCACTCCAAGTGGCCAGCTACTGGTCAAAGGACATTTAATCAACTACCAAGTTTGCAAAATTTGTGTTTTTTTATCTGTTTGTTTGTTTTGTTCTGTTAGAAATGTAATACAATGGTCTGGTTGCTGATGACACGATAAATCAATCAATCAACCCAAAGAGTAGGCATTCACCTGTTTCATGCAGTGCTAATGTTTGGGGCAAATGCCCTTTTTGCCCTGTGAACAGGGTGAGATATGAGCACCAACTTTAACATCACTTTGCAGTAGATTTTGTCATGGAAACTTCTTAAAGTGATAAAAAGCTTCTCTGCAGAATGCAGCAGCAGGGGGTGGGGAAATGGAGAATATTTAAAAGAAGAAAGCATACCAGCAAAATAACTCATGCTAAGAAGAGTTTGGCGCAGTTTCAGCCATTTATCATATCTACAGTGGGTATCACACACAGGCAAGAAAGAAATATAGAACATCTGGAAACCTCAGGAATTAAAAGGATGCTCAGATTTGTTTCTACTTTCACCGCACAAAGAATTATGGCGAGCACGGTAGGGATGTGGGCTATGTTTTATGATCAGCTTTTGAAGCTCGGGAAATGTTCAGTTAGGTTAGTAAATAATTCAAAAAATGATTTGTGCCAGTCCATCAGAGAGCAGGTAAAGCAGGAATAAAGCATGTACCACCTGGCATGAGTGAGCACAATAAGAAGTTTTTATTACCAGTTACGTAAAAACTGCCATCCTTAGGTACTTTATTAAAAACAACATTGTTAGCACTATTGCTTCCAGATGTTAGCAGAGTGAGTTCTTTTTTTCTCATCTTAATCCCAGGGAATCTAGTGCAAAAACTGTCGCTGATGTTCTAACTTTCTCTAAGGACTCCCTAGAATCATCTAGGTTGCAACAGCTTACTTGCTCGTGCATTTGGAGACAGAAAGACCATAGAGAACAGCTGTCTTTACCCATTCTGTATCAGTAGAATCCCGCTGGAGCATTGCAGCGCACCCAAATACCTGGGAGTCACTCTGGACCGTGCTCTGACCTACAAGAAGCACTGCCTGAACATCAAGCAAAAAGTGGGCGCTAGAAACAATATCATAGGAAAGCTTACTGGCACAACCTGGGGATCACAACCAGACACAGTGAAGACATCCGCCCTTGCGCTATGCTACTCTGCTGCTGAGTATGCATGCCCAGTGTGGAACACATCTCACCACACTAAAACAGTGGATGTGGCTCTTAATGAGACATGCCACATTATCACGGGGTGTCTGCGCCCTACACCACTGGAGAAATTACACTGCTTAGCCGGTATTGCACCACCTGACATCCGCTGGGAAGTAGCAGCCAATAGTGAAAGGACCAAGGCAGAGACATCTCCAGCTCATCCCCTGTTTGGGTATCAGCCAGCACGTCAACGACTTAAATCTAGAAATAGTTTTCTAAGATCTACAGAGACACTCGCTGGAACACCTCAGCAAGCGAGAGTCTAAAAGTGGCAGGCTCAAACCCAGAACCTCAACCAATGGCTGATACCAAATGAGAGACTCCCCCCTGGGCACACAGAGGACTGGGCGACTTGGAAGGCGCTGAACAGACTGCACTCGGGCACCACGAGATGCAGAGCCAACCTTCAGAAATGGGGCTACAAAGTGGAATCCTCGACATGCGAGTGTGGAGAAGAGCAAACCACTGACCACTGGCAACCTGAGCCCTGCCACATGCACAATGGAGGACCTTCTTGCGACAACACCAGGGGCACTCACAAATTTTGTATTTTGTCTGTCTGTTTGCTTTGTTCTGTTAGGAATGTAATATAATTGACTGGCTGCCCTGACACGACAAATAAATCAGTAGAATTAGTTCCTGCAGCCTAGTGATCTAAATTGTACACTGGCATTCAGTTTTGGTCTCCGTGAAAATTAATCTGGCCATTTTCTTATCATCAGATCACCTTTGTTTTGGTGTTTTAGGAGAAGAGAAGGAGGTCACTATGGCTCCAATACCATTCCGGCATAATTTGCTAAATCCAATTTTTCCAGGCATGCATTTTGGTCTTTGCAAAATTTGGAAATTATTTAAGGTAAAGTAAAGGTAAAGGTTTTCCCCTGACAGTTAAGTCCAGTCATGTCCAACTCTAGGGTTTGGTGCTCATCTCCATTTTTAAGCCAAAGAGCCAGTGTTGTCCATAGACACCTCCAAGATAATGTGGCCAGCATGACTACATGGAGCACTATTACCTTCCTGCCGGAGTGGTACCTATTGATCTACTCACATTTGCATGTTTTCAAACTGCTAGGTTTGTAGAAGCTGGGGCTGGCAGCGGAAGCTCACACCTCTCCCCAGATTCAAACATGTGACCTTTCCATCAACAAGTTCAGCAGCTCAGCTTAGCAGTTTAACTTGCCAAATTGAAAACTAGAGGTGACTTCTGTCACTTTAATGCATACAAAGCGGAGCTTTTTACTCCGACAACTCTAAAGTAAGTGATTCTTTGTGACCAATACCTTCCAACAACAATTATGATATAAATGAAATAAAGCCAGATTATATTTTCTACAATGGTTGCTGGGGATACAAGGAGGAGACAGGAAGAGAGTATCCTTCATGCCTTTATTTAGGCTTTATAACATTCAAATGTTCTTCCCAAAATAGCTTTTGAGAAATGGCAAATTAGGAGGTTCTTTTTCAAAAAAAATATTACTATATTAGTAAGCAACAGGTGGAGGAGCATGAAACTTATTCATTATTTTAAAAATATTTTAAAATATTGGGCCATTTGTAAGTACTTGCCACCCCCTACTGCATGCCCATTTTTTCCAGTTTTGCAATTGCGTTGTCATATATTTGTTGGTCCTTTGTGTTCAATGTGTCACAAGGTACACAAAGCTCTTAAGCATAGTTAAGCCTCCACAACATCCCCAAATACAAAAACACCAAAGGAATATGAATCTTGCAGCTAAAACTATGGGAGTTTTCTGTAGGGTAGTACAGAGAGACCAGAGTTGTCTTCCACATGTACTGTCAGGACTTTTTACTTGAACTAAAATGGTATGTCAGTGCAAAGTCTGAAGGATAAGAAAGAAAAATCAAGAAGAGTCTGTACCTGCTGAAATGGCCTGTTTGATGTTCACCTCTCTGACTCACTTCTTGATGCAGTTCCCCAAAGCAAGCAGCCTTCTTACCAAGTCAACACTTCTGAGACACCTAGAGAGAGCAAAAAGACAGGGAAAGATTACATCTTTCTAGTCAAAAAGAATAAATTTTGCATTTAGGAAGAGATTTTTTTTTTTAAAAAAAACACTTCCACTGTAACTAGTAGGGGTGTGCATTTTGGAAAAAAACTGAGTATAGGAGTATAGTGTCTAGATCTAGGGAAGTCATGCTACCCCTCTATTCCGCCTTGGTTGGACCACACCTGGAATATTGTGTCCAATTCTGGGCACCACAATTGAAGAGAGATATTGACAAGCTGGAATGTGTCCAGAGGAGGGCGACTAAAATGATTAAGGGTCTGGAGAACAAGCCCTATGAGGAGGTATTTAAAGAGCTGGGCATTTTTAGCCTACAGAAGAAAAGGCTGAGAGGAGACATAAATACATTTAATCATTCCCTCCAATGAGCCGATGCTTTATTTCCTGAAGTATGGACTGGTTGGATCTTCTTGCGGTCCAAGGCACTCTCAGGATTTTCCTCCAACACCACAGTTCAAAAGCATCTATCTTCCTTCGCTCAGTCTTCATTATGGTCCACATCCAGAGGCGGCCCTAGGTTATTTTCAATGGTAAGCAAACAGTATTTTGCCACCCCACCCCAACCAATCATTGATATATATTTTCTGTTCGTCGTGGGAGTTCTGTGTGCTATATTTGGTTCAATTCCATCATTGGTGGAGTTCAGAATGCTCTTTGATTGTAGGTGAACTATACATCCCAGTAACTACACTTGCCGCACTTGCTCCCTTGCCTGGCCCGCTTTGGGTCCGGAGCGTGCCTGAAGACCCCGGTGTGTGCACCAAAAGTCACCTCTTCTCCTGACTTTCTCCTCAGCCATTGGGACCAGAGAGAGAGAGAGAGAGAGACAGAGGTGGAGATGCCCACCTTTCCTGAAGGTAGGCGCAAAAACAAAGGAGGGAGCGGAGGTGGGAGATACCTCCAGCCGGAGGGGCTCTCTCTCTCTCTCTCTTGGTCCCAATGGCTGAAGAGAAAGTCAGGAGAAGAGGCGACTTTTGGTGCGCACGCTGGGGTCTTCAGACACGCCTGCGGACCCAAAGCGGGCCAGGCGCGGCGGCTCCGCCCCTTGGCCCACCTGCAGATTGGGGAGAGGAGAGGAGGCGGGTGGAGCGCCGGGGGATCGGGAAAGGGAGCCGGTCATGGGGAAGGGATAGAACGCGGAGAACGATTGAGCGCCGGCTCTGCTCGCGCACCCGGTGGCCGGGTGGAGCAGGAACGAGAGGGGCTAGGCGAGGCTCAAGGGCCCGGCCCCTTTGGGAAGAGGATCGCCTGGCAGCGAGGCAAGAAAGCTGAGGCTCCCCCCGGACTGCTAGGGCTGTTGTGAGCTGAGGGGGCGCTCCTCAAGTGGCGGTCGAGGGGCATTTACAGAGGCGCCTCTGCGCCCCTGGCAAAAAAAAGTGTTCTGCGACCGCTTACTTCGCGTAATGGACGAGCCGCCCCTGTCCACATCTGTAAGTTACTACAGGGAATACCATTGCTTTAACTATGCGGATCTTCGTTGCCAGTATGATGTCTCTACTCTTCACTAATTTATCAAGATTGGTCATTGCTCTCCTCCCAAGAAGTAAACATCTTCTGATTTCCTGGCTGCAGTCTGCATCTGCAGTAATCTTTGCACCTAGAAATACAAAGTCTGTCACTGCCTCCACGCTATCTCCTTCTATTTGCCAGTTATCAATCAGGCCGTACAAAGACTTTTCAAGGACACTGTAATTCTTAGCCAAAAGTTAATGCTTGTCTGATTATGGTGTGAGAGGATCTCGGAAATAGAGATTGTAGCTATAAAATAATATGTGTGCTATCAAGGACTATGGCTTTTAATGTCACCAGATGTGAGTACTGTTGCTGCTCATCTATGAGCTATGGGGAGATACTAAATTGCAGCTAAAAACATTTCTCTATCATGCAGAATGGTGTGAAATAAAAGTCAGTGACACCAGGAAATGATGACAACACTCATTGTATCCTCGAAAAGCAAAGCAAAGACCCCATGAGACTGAACATGTGGAGGGGATAAGATCTGATACCGTATACAACCAGATTGCCATTCTTCATCTATGGATTCAACTACCCACAGCTTGACAATATTTTTTAATATATAAAAAAATGATTTTGGCATTTTATATAAAGGACAGCATTTTAGTGATGGGGAAATATTGGAAATCTAGATATTGATACATATAAATTGTGACCCCCCCCCCAAAGTTCAAAACTCGTTTCAGATTCCTTACTTTTAGAAGTAAGAAGGTATGGCCTGTGCTATGTTGTATCAGTCTCTGTATAGATAATATGCCCTCCTTCTCCTCCCCCTTTCACACAGATCTCCTTCAGGCCTGTCAGCTTGGCTTCCTAATACAAAGAGAACCTGATTTTTCTATATTTCAGATTTTTCTCCCCCAATGGCCTTCAGGAAGAGCTGTTCTTAGCCACACCCAAAAATAATTCCGAACATTGGGGAAGTTGTTTCAGTTCGGAATTGCTCCTCCCACTATTCCTGCATAGCTTCCAGAAAGGATCGCTCTTGGTATTCTCTCTCCTATCTGCTGCTACATAAGTACACGACTGTATATAATGGAACTTGAGCATCCTCAGATTTTGGTATCTATGGGAGGCCTTGGAACCAAATCCCAGTAGACACCAAGAGTCCACTATCTATATATATAAAAATGCTCTGTGCATACTGAGTACCTTAAAAACAAAAGAACCAATGAACTAAATCACACCAAATTTGGCAACAAAACGTCTCACTACACAAGGAGTGACCATCACTCAAAAAAAAAATGATTTTGTCATTTGGGAGTTGTAGTTGCTGGGATTTATAGTTCACCTACAATCAAAGAGCATTCTGAACTCCATCAATGATGGAATTGAACCAATTTGGCACACAGAACTCCCCTGACCAACAGAAAACATTAGAAGGTTTTGGTAGGCATGGACCTTGAGTTTGGGAGTTGTAGTTCACCTATATCGAGAGAACACTGTGGATTCAAACAATGATGGATCTTGACCAAACTTGACAGGAATATTCAATATGCCCAAATATAAACACAGATGGAGTTTGAGGGAAATAGACCTTGTCATTTGGGAGTTGTAGTTACTGGGTTTTATAGTTCACCTACAATCAAAGACTATTCTGAATGAACCCCACGAATGCCAGAACTGGGGCAAACTTCCCACACTGAACCCCCATGACCAACAGAAAATACTTAAGGCCATCCAGTCCAACTCCCTTCACCAGGGCAAGAAAACATAATCAAAGCCCTCCTGACAGAGAGCCATCCAGCCATAGATATAGATAGATATATATGATTCACACACACACACAAATAAAGTATTATAGATTTGAAAGGGATTCCTAAAGATGGACAATTATATGTTGCCTGCTCCAGAGTAGGCAAACCAGACAATTTCTACGTCAACACTGTCAAAGAAACATCAAGAAATACTGTTTACCCACAAGCATAAAGACATTACATATATTGGAAACCAGCACTTTCTAATTACTTTATTTTCCATATCACCAGACTGGGCCACAGCAACGCATGGCAAGGGACCGCTAGTATAATAGAAGACAGGTTACAGACCTCTTGGTGACTTACGTATGCTGGTATAATGGAGGAGATACCAAAGCGGTAGGAGTCTTGTCCATCACCGAATTTCAGGGCAAAAATATTTTGAGTTGAGGTTTGTAACACGCCTTGTATTTTATTTGTGTTGTATTTTGAAATGGTCATATGACTAGTCAAATAAATAAATAAATAAATAAATAAATAAATAAAGTAACTAAAATGATAAGGAAAACCAAAAAGGAGTTAAATGCCTACTTGATAAGTTGTAGCTGTAATGTCTTAAATATGTGGAGGGGGAGAGAACCAATTGCAAATCACCAAGCAATTCAGAATAGTTACTTCCAAACTCCACTTCAAGGATAGCATTTACCACCTAAATGCAGAGCAGTGAAAGGTATTTGAAAATACCAAGGTTGTTTGTATTTCATTGTGGGAATGCATCTCTTACTCAATTAAGTCCCAGTCTTAACCATTTTTGAAAGCTAAAATACTGGGAAGGTGGTGGAATAAAGTGTCTGATCTTAGTGTAATTGGTATCACTGTAAAATTGCACTCTGATCGTTATTTTCTGAAGTGGCATAAGGTTTATGGGATTTCCTTACTGGCTGCACACTGTTTATAGATTTCATTAGATGATTACCGTATATTCCGGCATATAAGACGACTGGGCGTATAAGACGACCCCCAACTTTTCCAGTTAAAATATAGAGTTTGGGATATACTCGCCGTATAAGACCACCCCTCTTCCAATGCACACCAAATAAAATTTTTAAAAAATCAGATTTGAATTCAATATGGTAATTTGAATTCAAATGCTTATGACATGCAGGTTCCTATGAGAGGGGCATTGTACCTTATATTGGACATTATAGTTGCTCTTCCTCCCTTGAATTTCATTTACGCTCTGGGTCGTTTACATCATGCTGGCAAGTATGAAAGCAGGCTTTAAATGGTTCAGATTACATGTATGTTGGCATAGAAGCTTGCATGCAAATAGAAGTCAGGCTTTGTACGATGAGTACTGAGGTGAAGGCAAAGCATTTGTAGAATTTTTATCTATAAGCAGTCTTTATAAATCAGGACCTCCTATCAGAAGAGAGGGGCAGATTGGACCCTCATCCTTCAGAAATGTAGCATTTGGCATGGCACATGTTTACTGGGTCACATCTTGACATGTCTTCATCCTTAAATCACCGTGACAGCTTGAATTGTTTTAGACTTTCTCAAGGACACAGCCAGGTGATGTTTAACTGTTAGAAGGGGAAAAGAGATCAGAAAAGAGGAAGGAGGGCCCTGGGTCAATAAGAGCTTTCCAGTTTGACTTCTGTCAAAAATGAAATGCAAAGATACAGGATGGGGGACGCGTGGCTCGAGAGCGGTATGTGTGAAAAAGATCTTGGGGTCC